ACAGCAGCAACTTATAAACACATCTATTCCATAATTTCTCTGACTGTGTGGGACAAAACAGGTATATTATTTTATAAACTTTTACCATATTAAGAACAGTTATTGTTTAGTTTCATACAGAATAGCGTACTAGGTTCAGGTAGTGATGAGAGAGAGAACTAACTTTTTTTCTTCTATTCGTTGTAGCTAAAACATATTATAAACAACGTCAGCGACTGTATCCATCTGCACCAAAAGAGCCTACGTTTAAAATACCGGAAGAATTTACCAAAAGTTATGGTGACGAACCATTTATTTTATATGATGGATTCAAGAAAAAATACCTTGGTCGATTACTGATTTTTTCAACAGCAACATTGCTAAATGTGTTATTTACAAGTGAATTAATTAATTCAGATGGAACATTTAAAATAAGACCAATCCTCTTCGATCAAGTTTTTGTTATTTTGGGAATGATAAATGGTGAAGGTAAAAAGATGGATTACTAAGTTAACTTAGATAGCTATCGCTCTTTAATTTGCGTTTTGTAGGAGTACCTTTGGTTTGGGCTTTGACAAGCTGTCGATTAGAAGGAGTTTATGAAAAGATGTGGAAAGTTCTTCGTGCTTATGCTGTACAAAAAAATATTACATTTGCAGCTAAACGATTTATTACGGACTTTGAACGAGCTAATATTAATGCTATTGAAAACCATGTAAGTACATTTTCTTTTGATGTAAAGTCAATTGTTTGTTTTCTTCTTTTGCAGTTTCCTCAGTCAGAAATCAATGGTTGCTGGTTCCATCTATGTAAAGCTCTATATCAACATATTGCTATATTAGGATTGATACCGGAATATGATGAAGATGGTGATGTACGAATGTGGTTACGTAGCTTTATGGCTTTGCCGTTGGTACATTGTGACACAAATGCGAACTGATGATACTGCATTTTTAGCAGTTCAAAATCGATTACGTTACGGACAATGCACAATAAAAGATCATAAGCTACTTTCAACACGCGTAATTGATCACCGAAGCTGTCCAGTTAAATCATTGGACGAGATCAAATGGAGAGAGGCCCCAATTCTCGTTTTCCGTAATGATTTGAGAACAAAATTGAATAATTTGGCGATTATATCGAAAGCTCGTGAAATTGGTGAAACACCTGTCGTATGTGTGGCGCAAGACAAGTTCAATGCTGATTCAGTTGTTAACGAAAAATTGCGGGAATGCATTTTGCGCTTGCCCGATAACAAAACCAAAGGATTATGTGGTTACCTATTTCTCGTCATAGGTAAACTTTTACTGCTAAATATTTCCAGACTACCATTGTTTCTTTTCCTTGACCGCCTAGGTATG